CCACCCCTCCCTGCTTCTGCCACAGACCCGGGTGGGGCCTGGCTGTCCAGTGCCAGGCTGTCCAGTCCAGGCTGCTCCTGGCCCCTGAGAGGACTTTCCAGCTGTCCTGAGCCAGACACCCACATTCCTGTCTACACTCAAACTGGACAGCAGCCGAGGGTGCTGGGGGTGCAGGCTCTGAGCCAACACAGACCTGCCTGCCCCCAGCACCCCCGGGGCTACCCCGGGACGAGGAAGGGCCAGTCAGATGCCGCCTGGCTGTAGCCCCAAGACCAGGGTTTGGGAAGCACCCAGCAAAGGGCCTCCCCGAGCCCCTGGCAACAGCCCCTCAGCCCCTGTCTGGCAGGCGGCAGGTCAGACAGAGGTTCTGGGAAGTGAGCCCTAGGAGGGTCAATGAGGTCAGCCCAGCACCTCCCGCTGCTCCAGGTGGGGCTTCGGTCAGGGGTCAGCCTGAGGCCGGCCAGCACTGTGCTGACCACTTGGCTCTGGCCACAGCCAGACACTCGGGCCACCCCAAAGCCCGGTTCCACAACCAGACACCAGGCCAGGCTCCGCCACCCCCAGGGACCCCCAGCAAGCCCCCTGCCCTCAGCAGCAGCAGGTCTGGCCCAGTCTGCATCTCACCCATGGACCCTACTCAGGCTGGGTGGGTGTGATCACAAGGGCCCAGGGCCCCTTAGGGGAGCGCCAGACCCCTCCTGAGGCCTGGGGAGCTTGTCAACACCACGGTTTGGGCTGGGCCTGGGAGACAGTGGGACTGAGACGGATAATGCTGTGGGGCTCAGGATGGGGCCTTTGGGGGCGCACCCTGCAATGGCCCCTTTCCTGCATTGGGGGGCCAGCCTGTGTCTTTCAAGGCTGAGCCTGCGGCCTGAACCCCGAGCCCTGGGCCCCCCCCAGTTCATGCCCCTTGACCTCCCTATAGCAGTAACCGCTGCCCAACCCCCACCCCTTGCTCCTGCACCCCAGCCATGGGGGCTGGAGACAGTACATTCCAGGGGAGTCGCAGCTAAGTGGTAATGGCCTGAGGTTAGGGGGCCAGAGACAAGGGTGAAGGTGAGACAGAAGGCAGGTGGAGTCGGGCGCCAGGATGCCGCTTCCCCGGCCCTGGCCACCTGCCCACCGCAAGCTCCTCGGGGCTGGCCCGGCCTTCCTCTCCTCGTCTCTCGTCGCCTCATCCCGTCTGTCTGCCTCTCTGCAGGGCCCTGGGCCCCATCTCTGGGTCTGGGTCTCCATCTCTGTCATCACAGTCCCCTGCAGCAGGTCTGGATTCGGAGGTGAGACCTGCCCCCATTCCTGGCCAGGCAGGTCGGGGGACTGGCTGGTGCTGATGGACAGTCAGGAGAGCGCCCTGGGTGCAGTGAGGCCCCGGGCCCGGCTGAGAGGGTCTGACTGGGTGCTGGCCGTGGTCCCTCAGCATCCCCACCGACAGCCCAGGGCGGTCGCCTCAGTAAACAGGCGGCCAGCACATCTTGGTACCAACACCAAGCCAGGCTGACGCTCACAAGCCCGTGATGGGAAGTGGGGGCAGGGCAGGGACCCATTCCTCCGCCTCCCCTCCATGCCCCTCCTCTCCCCACCTCCCTCCACAAGGACCACAGTGCACACGCCCCTGCAGCCAGAACAGCCCCACTCAGGCCAGCTGGCGCCTACAGTTGCTGTGAAGCAGAGACACCCCCCCAGACTTTCCAAGCCCCTGACGCCACCCTGGGGGGACCAGGGAGAGAGGTGGGGACGGGTCAGTGGCCAAGCCCGGAGCTGCACAGACCAGCGCCCGCCCGGCACCAGGGCTCTGCTGCCTCATTACCCAGCCTGACCAGTCAGGGGCCTTGGGGGAGGGGCTGGTAATGGCCCTCGGGCTCCAGCCTCCACCTGCCCCACCTCCCACTCCTGCCCCTGAGCCTGCAGACACACCCCCAACCCCTGCCCTCCCCCAGCC